TCAAAACATTGAAAAAAAATAATATGACAATAAGCATTAGCAAAATAACAATTTCAATATCTATATTACATAAAGATCAAATGATAATATATAACAATATCAATCAAAAATAGCAACCAATAAAGGAAAAAAGTACAACAAACAAATAAATAACAACGAATAATATTGAAATTTTTATCAAAAAGAATAATATGATAATAATATAATGAATATCCAAATATTTAACAGGAATAAGCGGATCAAACGAAAATAACAACGGTGAATTAAAACAAATCAAGAAGAACAACATAATAACAATAGAATAACAACGAATAACATTGTAAACAATATCAACATGAACAACATAATAATATTAGAAGGAAGATCAAATATTTAATAGACTGAAAAAATCAAACGAAAATATCAACGACGAAAAAAAGGTGCAAACAATAGTGTAAACAATATCAACATGAACAACATAATAATATTAGAAGGAAGATCAAATATTTAATAGACTGGAAAAATCAAACGAAAATATCAACGACGAAAAAAATGTGCAAACAATAGTGTGGTTTGGTGCGCCGGTGATGTGAATGAATGCCAATGATGAATTATTTATAGTGTTTGTGATGGAATGTAAGAATATATTTTTAGATTTAGATAAATTAGGCAATTATATTTTTATTGATATTAATATAATTAGGTAATTAATGGATAAATTTTTACGGATTGATTGATGATTGATTATGGTCAAATCAATAAAAAAAATATCGTGGTTTATGTAATATATAGTCAATGATAGTTGTGGCATAATCATCAAATTCCTAAAAAATAGATATATTAAAATATCGGATAATCATGTTCCATACTTAACGAATGTGAGAAAATATATTAAACTGTACCTTAAATGTCAATTAAATTATTACCATAAATTGGAACATTAATATAAAGAAAAGAAAATAAAATAAATATCATAGAATTTTGAAAAAAGAAGTTGGAGTTCAAAATAAAATAGAGTTCGAATGAAAAAAATACTTTATGATAATCATATATTAGGACAAAAAATGGCACATGGATAAAAATCAACGAATTAAAATGAGAATATATTGTCCATGTTTTAATTAAATAATTGTCTTAGTTATATTAATTATTAAATAATTAGCTTTATGAGTAATATATTTTCCTTAAATAATTGATAAGTACTGGCGTAAATATTGGAAGCCATAAATAGTAAAAATTAGGATATAAGTTATATTAGGATATAAGATATTTAATAATTAATTCAAATGCATTTAATTTATATTGACACATGGGTGATGAATAGGATTCCTACGTGGATGCTTACATGGATGACACATGTCGTAATTCTAAGATATGTGGGTTTCAATTTATATATTATATAGATATTTTATATATGTTGATACCAACGAAAAACGAAAAGAAATAAAGATGACAATAAAAAAATCGGACAGCAAATAGATGATAAAAAACAAAAAAATGCACAATGTCATACGTTTAATTTGAATGAAATGCAGTGGTGGAATGGATTGAAGTAGTAGTGGTTTATATACTTGTGTTTGCATGATGAAAATAGAGAATATCAATTGAATATGGTAATAATATCAATAATATTAAAAGCAATATCAATAGACAAATTATTTGAATTTGAAATTAGTTAAAAATGAATGAGAATCCGGGAAAAATAAGTATAATGGAGTAAATATGGAAATATATAGAGTGTAAAAGTAATCCGAGAAATAATATGTTTATTGAATGAGAATCCAGAGACAATCTATATAAAAGTGAATAGACAAATAAATATGTAAATGATAAATAAGATTAAAATTTATTTAAAAAATGAATATAGTTTACTTATCATTTTTTGATATTTTATTGAATGAGTACCCGGAAAAATATAAGTAAAATGAGATATATATATATATATATATATATATATATATATATATATATATATATATATATATATATAATTGAATGAAGTAATTAAAAAATAAAAATAAACTAAAAATGAATGCCAAATCAAGTTTTATTTACAAAGTAATGAAAATAAATAAATAAATAAATATGAAAATAATAATTAAAAATCGGATTTTTTGGATGATTATAAAAATTGAATCTGTAAATTGTCAACTACATAAATTAAAAAATGGAATAATTGTAAGTTAAAAAATGTAATTGTAAATACCATGGAGTGTGTAATTTAACTTAAAATTATTCCATGGAATGTGTTAAAAAAAGTGGACTCAAAATTGGAGATGTGAAAAACTCAATTGTGTATCTTGTCTTTATAAATTATATAAATAAATAGATAGATCGTTGTTATATGTAATTAAAAAAATAATATGTAGAATATATACATCTCCGGATGATATATATTGATATGTATAGATTGATATGACAAACCTTCTTTCAATATAAATTAATATGTTTACTATATATGAACATAATTAAAATAAATGATATTTAACCCTAAAAGATAACAAATATAAATGATTAATAAAATATATAAATACATGAATCTAAATTTATAAAATATATTAATGCATTAAATTTATTTTAAAAGATTATGAATATTATTATAATAAAAATATCGAATTTTTCTTGCTTAGATTTCGAAAAATTTCAAAATCTTTTAAAATTAAAATATATATACTTTATTTAAAAAAAATTGAAAATATATACATTATATAAAAAAATGAATATTATGCATTAAAGAATAAATATTTTGCGAATTTATATATAGATTAAATACATTAAAGAATATATGTATATGTGGTAATGTTTAATATATAGATTAAATAGTACAATTAAAAAAATAAAATATTTTTTTTATAATTATTTTTAATGGAATGGATATTCGAATATTCTAAAATATTGAAAATTCAAAAAAAAACAAACAATTGTATTCCTTGATTTTAATATTTTAATATTAAAAAAAATTCTGAAAATTATTTGAATATTCGTAAAAAAAATTGAGTATCATGAATTTTTTCAATGAATATATTTTGAAATACTGAAAATATAAATAAGATTTTTTTTGTTTCGAATTTATAAATATTAACTTTGGAAATAATATATATACATGTGGTAATTGTTTAAATGAGTGTATAAATATTAAATAGGAAATAACTTAAATACATATCAAAATAAAATTGACAACTCATCAATTGAAGA